GGTATGACCAGGAAGGCTAGAGATGAGCGAAGGGTTGATCCGAGGAGCTTACCTAAGGTTCAGTACGATCACCGCTTCCAGATAGCCTTTCACCTGGATTTCTACTCCAGTGTGATTCTCACCAGGAACCCAGTAATTGCCAGGTCTCAGTGGATTGACTGGCAATATATTAGAGAGTTGCGAAGGCCTCGCTTGATCATGCTATTGCCATCTCGCCAGAGCACAGTGAGTTTATGAGATCATGGAGTTCCAACATGACTGGAACACGAGGTAGTAGCTCATTCTATGCTACTCTATTTGTTGAGGAGGATGAGCGGCGGATGCACCGGATGCTTGAGGGCCAAAGCAGTACAGTGTTGACTATGATGTTTTTGCCGCCCATCTTGGCTTCTCGGAGGATGATCTCCAGAGGGACAGGATCCACACCGAGCGGTGTTACCTCCCTGAGCAAATTTCGCCTACATGTATCCTGGGCTGGTGGTGAGAGAGAGGAGCTGTGGGGAAGGTTCTAGGTCTTCACCCTACCTACAGTGCACCGGACAGGATGTTCAGAAGACTATTGACTGCAAGGGTGGAGACAAGGGCACCATTGCTTGATTACTCTAGGAACCTACTCCACAGATGGCACACCCCATGCTCGGCCCTTCAAATAAGTGTTTGACTTTATTTGGTCCGAGATCGAGTGTTGGAGAGAGGCCCTCAAGGGCTGTGGTTTTGCTCCTTATATCATGCATATGATTGAGCGGTGACAGGCACACATTTGAGTATGATAAGATTCACAAGGCCCTCAAGATTATTGCAGATTTGCTCGAGACAGGTTACCTCCAACTGGACCAGAGGAGCAAAGAAGAAGACTGCAGAGGCGATGCACTGGAGTGGTGCACCAGCAGGAGCTTCACCTTCACCACGTGCTCCTTCACGCTCTACTTCACACCATGGCAGGTCCTCCTTCGCCTATCCGTAGGCTTTTCAAATCTATTTTTGGGATGTGCCGTGACATCCAGACTAGGCAAAGAAGAAGGAGAGGGAGGCTAGGAGGAAGGACACTCGGACTTTGAAGCAAATTGCTTCTAATCTTGAGCTTGATCCTCCTAGGTCTCCTCTATCGATGAGGCAGCTAGTGAGCCCGAGACCGAGGAGCAAAGCAAGAGCTAGATATGATAGAGAGTATGTTGAGTTCATACAATGACAAAGACAGCAAGAAGAAGAGCACACTGTGCACCCCGACACTCTACCACTTCACGCTCGTGTGCCTACTCACTCTCGACCACGTCCCAAAGACTGCAGACGGGCTATGCTACTGATTGGTGGAGTGACCGGCAGTGTGGTGGTGGCTTTACGGGTCTGGTGGCCATGACGCTCTGGTGCGGGGTGGTTCTCGTCCCACCGTTGTTGCACGCCGTATGATGAGGATGCTGGTCGAGATGATGATGATGAGTGATCTCACTTTCGTGATGACTTTGTAGCCCCTTTGTCCTTAGTATGTCATTGTTGGACCTTTGTGGTGATAGATGACAAAGGGGAGAGAGACTGATTAAAGCTTGTGGATAGTTTCATTTGCTTATCTTTGTACCAAGATATGTACTGCAGTCAGAGTTTGTTTTTGAGCTTCATTGATGTATCTTGGATTTGTGATAGATTGTATCATGTGAGAGATGAGTCTTATTTATGCTTTATCTTTGTATCTCTTGAGACATGATCTTTATCTATATATATCAGTGGTTTCTGGACTTGAGAAAATTTGTAATGAGTGCTATGTGTGAATTACATATGTCATATTTATTTTCATAAGGACTATGCAAGCTAGAATGAAAATATTTGATGTGATGCTTTTATATTTATTCTTGTGTGATATATCTTGTCATATGCATCACGGTTTCACTTTGTCACACACACATGCACCCCACGGATGCAATGATTTAGGGGGAGTCTCCTATATGTTTTAGTATGTGCAATTGACATTTGAGGTCATTTTGTGAATTCTAATCATAAGCACATATTAAGGGGGAGCCTCTCATAAATCATTGAACCCAAAAGTTTAAATGTTTATATTATTTTGTAAAAGCTTTAATCAAGTTGTCATCAATCACCAAAAGGGGGAGATTGAAAGTGCATCAAGCCCTTTAGTGGGTTTTGGATGATTGAATGACAACGTGATTAAAGGACTAACCCGCTTGCTAAGTGTGAACAGTAATAGGTTATCTCACGGTGTACTTAATGAAAGCCAAAATGATGTGTTGTTGTATAAACAATCTAGTTCGAGCACAAGACAACAATGCAAATGGAATTCATGTGAAGGCTTATTTTTGTGGGATTTCCATTGACTATGTGAAAGCAAGCTCATGATTATTAGTTAATGAGACATGAGGGATTGCATATGGAATGGTCTCATATTTGAAGCTTGCTAAATTAAAATGAAAAAGATAACAATACATATGAATGGATGATTCAACACAAGATGTGACTTGATGGCTTGAGATGGTGAAGATAGCAAGGAAAGGCTTCGAGGTACTAAGCAAGGGTGAAGGGCAAGCGGCGGCTTGGCGGTCAAGAACCTAGCTAGGGTGAAGAAGAAAGTACTTGCATTTAGTTGAGGTACTAATCAAGCTAAGATGGTCATATTGATGTGAAGAATCAAATCTATAATGAAGTATTTGATGGAAGTGACTCGATACATTTGGGGTTATTCAAATTTGATGAATGGAATCAAGTCACATGCTCAAGATGGCTATGCTCAAATGAAAAGATCAACATCAACTTGTTAGCACCCTTACTTGATGAAGATTGGAAGGGACGGCATCAATTCAAAAGAAATCAACTCAAGTGGTATAAATTCTTTTTTCTTTTGATCTTGAGTTTAATAGGTATGCCGTACTATTAAGAGGGATGCATCATGTTGATAGATAATGTTTCATAAGTGCTCAAGCCAACCCATGTGAGGTTTGATTATTTGAGCGACAAATGTGTTAATCGATTTCTTCTTTGATGCAGCAATACCGGACGTGTCCGTATTCATACCGGACGTGTCCGTATTTGTCCAAAGAAATGCAAAATTGTTGTTCTCGGGTTGCTTTTGCCGGGAGTTCCGACGTGGTCGGGAGTTCCGACGGTCGGAGTCCCGGCATGAGTCGGGAGTTCCGGCGCCTCGCACTTCAACACACTTTGAGGTTTCATCGTCTCGGTCATACCGGACGTGTCCGGATTCACACCGGACGTGTCCCAGTATGGATGACCGAAGCCAACGGCTAGTTTTCAAAAGCCGTGAGGGTCGGAGTTCCGACATGCGCCGGGAGTTCCGACACCTCACTAACTTTAACTCGATTACATGTTTTTCAAAATTGCGAGGGTCGGGGTTCCGACTTGAGTCGGGAGTTCCGACGGTCGGAAGTCCCGACATACTTCGGGAGTTCCGAGGCCTCACAACATCATCAGAACTTAGTTACCGTTGGCGGCTAGCTCGAGTTATACCGGACGTGTCCGAGTGCATACCGGACGTGTCCCAGATTGCAACGGCTATAAACGGCTAGTTTTTCAAGGGGCTATAATACCCCCCAAGCCTCCACCTTTGGAGGTCACGATTCTACTTGACTTAGACACACGTTTTTTGAGCCTTGCCAACCCTCTCTTAGTGAGTGATTGATCAAACTTGCAAAATCAATTTGTGGGTTGAGTGAAATTCAAAAGAGAGCCATCCAACCACTTGAAGCACTTGTGCATATTGTCAATCTCGTGATTCGCATTTGTTACTCTTGGACTCTTCGGTCCTAGACGGTTAGACGTCGCGGAGAGCACCCGGAGAGATTGTGGTGTGCCTCGGAAAGTTTAGAATTGGCGATTCATGCCCTCGGAATCAATTAGTGGAAGGAGGAAAAGGAGTTGGAAAAGACTCCTACTAGAGTGACCTTCGTGGTATCCTCTAGGGTCGACCTTCATTGGTCGCCCGCAGCCCCTCAACGGAGAGTAGGACTCGAACGAGTCCGAACTTGAGAAAAACAAATATCGTGTCTCAATTCGCATTTCATTTGATATTTGTGTTGCTCTAGCACTTGTGCAGTTCTCTCGTATACCGATAGTTAAATTAGGTGCCTGCAGCTTTGGTTTGAAGATAGAAATCAAAAGGAGCAAGTTCGGGCTGATCTGCGAGAATCGTAGTATACTGGGACACGTCCCAGAGATTCATACCGGACACGTCCGGTATTTCCTCCTCGCACTAAAAATATTTATTCTCTGTTCTAACTTGATGTTGCAGGGTTGTAGCTTCTAGATATATTCTTTATACCTTGTTTACTCTGTGGCTAACTTGTGAGGGGTGGTAGTACTCTTAATTTGGAGTTTCCATTTTGGAAACTCCCCTTTCTAATTGTTTCCGCATTTAAAGGTGTTAATTTTCAGAAACGCCTATTCACCCCCCCTCTAGACGACATCCTAGGTCCTTTCAGACCCACCTTTTATATCGATATTGGAGGAGATATATTGTAGCATCTTCCTCAATAAATCTAGAAAGTGATATTAGACTACTCTAATTCCATCTTATTTGGCGAGTTATATCGGGGACTACTGGAGATGCTCAGTTGGCTTATGAAATTTTCCCTAGTGTCATAAATGAATTGATTTGAGCGCCTGGGTTGAAGTGACCGGCTCAAAAGGACCGAAAAGGGCATTCGTGTACTTGAAACAAGATGGGACTCAACACACTTCTGTATTGATCAAAGAATCGGTATAAATACATGTACAGGCCAAGGCTGCACGGCTAGCCATGCCTAGGGATGCGGACTCCACAGGCATTGTGCGGAGCGAGTGCGGCGGGCGTTACCGCGCCGTGACGAGCGACGTGCGCTAAATTTAATTAACGAAAAAAAGGTATATTAGCGGCGCCACAGAATCTTTCATCTCATCAGTCCATTTGTTTCCGCTATCCGCACTCCTGATTCGTGTTTCGTGTACTCCATCTTTTCCGCTTTCCATTCTTTCCCATCCCCGCTGGCGACTCTTGAACCTTGATGCACCCCTGGCGCCGCGCCTCCCGGGCCGCCCCCGGAGCCTCCTGCTCGGAGCCCGCGCGTCCGCTCGCTGGTGGCAACGCGAGGGTCTCGCCGGAGGTCTCCGCGGAGCAGGATGATGAAGGGGAGGAGGGCGACGTGGGGAGGTGGTCGGCCCTGGTGCCCGAGCTGCTCGACGACATCCTTCGGCGCGTAGACGCCGGCGCCGAGAGGTGGCCACAGCGGCGCGACGTGGTGGTGTTCGCCTACGTGTGCCGCCGGTGGCGCGAGACGGCCGTCGCCTTGGTGCGGCCGCCGCTCCGGTGCGGGGGAATCACCTTCCTCTCCTCGCTCAAGCAGGTGAGGCCCCACCGAATCCTGACCGTATACCATCTTCATTGTCTTGATTGGAGCTGCGTCGTCAGTCAACGATTGTTTCGCTTTTAAAAGAAATGGAAAAGGCTGGTGGAGTGGAGTGTGGAGCATGCGATTTCTGGTGCCGCATCTGTTGCTTTAATTATTTTGCCTTAAACAAAAGAAGTGAGGCATTGCTCTCGGTAGTCAGGGGCCTGCTCGTAGTGCCCAAATATCTTCTAATGGATGCGATTCCTCTACCTTTCAATTTCTTTGACACATCGCCACATGATTAAGGTGTTCATACCTTTTATAGAGCTGATTGCACCCACACTTTAGATATTCTGATTCCAGATGTCACCATTATGACAGCTTTGACTCGCAACTTCTGTTAGAATATACAGTACAGTTAAATAGCGAAAAGTTATATTATGAAAACATTTTCGATGATGAATTTGGTAATGTGAAGCATGTGTTTGAATATATGTAACTTTTCATATTGATGGTCCAAATTTAAAAAGTTTGACCAGATAGAATCCTCAAACGACCTAAATTTGGGATAGGGAGCACTTTTTATTTGTATGGACAAAAAAACTAGATGGTTTCTTGTTTAATAAACTTATACTATTTCTGAAGTATTACTTGCAATACATTAGTCAACTAGGGTAGAAGGATGAAACTGCTGGCTATAAAATTCAGTTTAGGTAGTTCTTGGCTTCTTGCTGGTTTACCACAGCACCAAGAAGAATGTACTATTTTTTTTTTTTGAAGAGAATGTACTAATATTTTGATTATTATGTTCTATGTTACTTGGTGGATGCGTCTGATTTTGTACAGCCTGGACCAAAGGATGCGCCGATACAGTGTTTCATCAAGAGGAACAAGAAAAACTCGACTTTTCACCTTTATCTCAGCTTAACACAAGGCTAGTTGGTTTCATGTCGCATTGGAACGGTATTCACTTAGGATCTGGTAGGCTGTTACATAGATAAGAAAAGGAGTACAGTCACTTAGATCATGGTCCTCCATGTTGATATAAATTTCAAAGGGTTCTGTACATCCTCTTTTCAAATTAAGAAGATTATAACTATTTTTATCTTTTGGTAAGGATGCAATGAGCCAATGAGGACTGACAAAAGCTTAGTTGTTACAAATAAAATTCAACACGATGCACTGTTGCACAGTGAATTCAACCTACATGTTTAGGTTCTTCGCCATTTCATCTATTGATATCACTAGTAACTAAATTTGTATACACACAATAGTAAGGTGTCTACGTTTTTTTTAAAAAAAAAATTGACACCTCTAGGCTCTAGCTCTGTAGTACTATGTTTTCGCTGACATTTTCGTTTAACAGCATTAACAGGTCAAGGGAGGTTTCTGTTGGCAGCTCGTAAGAACAGGTGTGCGTACCGTATGGAATATATTATCTTTATTCGCAAGGATCTCTCTCATGGAAACCATGTCGGAAAGCTAAAGTGAGGCCTAAATCTAATATTTCAATGGCTTCTGACTGCTGCAACATTGGTGAAATATTTCAATTTTCAAGAAACAGTTTTCAACTTTATATCTATATTCTCATAGTTCTAGCCATCTAATTTCTTTTTCATAGCATTGAAAAACCATGCCCAGATGTACTATTGGGTTAATTCTATCATATCAATATGGCATTTTTCTTCTATAATTATGATATGGATTGAAATGTGGCTTTATATACTATTAATAAAAATGTCTTTTATATTATATAGGAACTATTTTCTAAATATTTTTTTCAATATTCAACCATCACTAAGGGAATTTGTTTATCAAACACGTGTATGCCGCACGTGCATTTCCACTAGTGTTCCTTTATGTGTGAAAAAATATGACACGCCATGCATTTCATAGGTAAGTGCTACTAATTGCCTCAGTTACAAATTTATCCGCCAACCGCCATATGTACTTTTAGCATGCTCCTTTTGATGCATGCAACTCCATTTTCTCTAAATGACCCCAAACATAATATCAGTCATGGGTGAAGATAGGTCCAGTGTACACTAAAAGAAAGTACATGTAAATATCTCTTACGGCATAGGAAAATTTGATTTCATATCAAACTGTCCAGATTCTTCATTGATAGAGCAACCTGTGCTTGTAGGTCTGACTTCACGAGAACAAAGTTCACTATTTATGATCTGCAGCTACAATATGAAGGTGCTAAGGTGCCAATCAGCAGATAGAGACCCTGGCTTGCAAGGAAGCAGATAAACCCGCTCGTTTCCACTGGCAATGTTGAAACCGGAGAAGTGACCTATGAATACAATCTTCTCAAATCAAGAGGACCGAGAAGAATACACTGCAGTATCCAGTGCCCTGTAAATGAGGACACTGCAATAGATCAGCACGAGGCAAAGCAACTCTGCACCCCTAGTTCCTTGGTTCTGTACAATAAAGCACCACGTTGGCATGAGGATCTGCAGTGCTGGTGTTTGGATTTTCATGGTCGGGTTATGGTTGCCTCTGTGAAGAACTTCCAGCTTATTGCTCCAGCGGGCACCGGGCAGCCATGGGGCATTCAGGATGATGAAACTGTGATACTTCAGTGTGGAAAGATCGAGGATGATGTTTTCACGATGGACTATCGGCAGCCTCTGTCCGCATTCCAAGCATTTGCAATCTGCCTCACCAGTTTTGGCTCCAAAGTTGGCACGTGAAATAGGTATCTGTATTTTATAGGACCTCTGACCCCCCCCTGGGATGGCCATCAACATTTCCTGAGAAAAGGGAAACAGTGACCGTGATCATTTCCCACCCTCTCCATCATTCTGTTTGACAAACATGTTCATCTCTTGTGACAAGAGAGTGATCTGAATACTGAGGTTTATTTAATCATATGTTGGCATTTGAAAGCGCGTCACAAATTCTTTGTATATATTTGCCCTATTCGGCTGATGGTTTCTGCGGCCGATAAGACGGCTGATGCTGTTTTGTTGTGAGAGAAAAACACTGTACCAACTGATAAGCCTGTTGTGGACGAGAAATACACACGGAAGAAAAAGCAAGGAGAACATGCGGTGTCCACAAGTGGCTAAAGAATTACTTTGTTGCAGCTTAGTAGCATAGTGTTTTCTTTGTTTGTTTAGATCAGAATAGGAGTTGTTTGGTGAAGTTATTAGTGCCGCCTTTATTTAGAGCTCGGCAGATTCGTTTGACACTAACCAAGACATAATTAATCCACTTAAGGCCTTGTTTGGATGCATGTGTATTTACTTCAATCCACATGTGTTAGAGTGAAATGGAATGAAATTTAGTTTAATTCCACTCCAATTCACTTCAACACATGTGGATTGAGATGAATAATTGCGCATCCAAACAAGACCTAATTTGATTGTTCAGAGCCTCTTGAGGCCGAGCCTTATCCTAGCCAACCCATCAACCATATCAAATATAGATCATATTTGTTTCAAAAGACGCAAATACATTTTCAAGCTGATGAGAATTCACAAAGTTCTAACAATGCAAACTAGCAATCTAAGAATAATAAAGTGGACACTGAGTTCCTGATGCTTCGGAAAGTATCAAGCGTAACCGGACACCAAAATAGATCAGGAGCAAACCAGCAAGGCAGCAACCCATCAGGTCGAGATAGTATCAGATGTGCAGCAATGTGATGATTATTGAGGTCAAGATGATTGAACCATGCTACACACTGTTTCCATCCCGATCAGTCTCCACTCTAACAACGCGTGGTTAACAGAAAACAACAAAGCTTGTTACAGTAGACTGCAGTCATCAGGAGTCAAGACAGCTCCATTTCTACGTGATCAACTTGATCAGAAGCGCCATCGCTGTCAGAGTCTGCCTGCATTTCAGAAGATTAACACCGAATCATTCAGCAATCGGGCAGAATGGTGGCACACGAGCACATATCCAAGGGGACGGGGCGGGACCACGAGAGAACATGATGCTCACCGGCGGAGGAGCGATCCGGCCTGCGCCCCATCCGAGCAGCAGTCCGACGGCGTCGGCGAACGCGCGGTGCGCCAGCCTCCTCTTGGTCCGGGCGATCGACCCGGCGTGCTGCACGAGCGCGGCGCATCCGGCAAACCTCTTGCCCACCCTGGCACCGCTCCCCTCGCACACCAGGCAAAGGAACTGCCCCTTGTCCCGCTCCGCCTCGTAGAAACCCCTCAGCGCCGTATCACTGCCCAGCAGCTCGCTGAAGAATCGAGCCGCATTGCCCCCGTTCTCCTCCTCGTCGTCATCTTCGATCTGCGATGCGAAGAACGCGCGGCAGGACCTTACGGCGACGGCCTGAGGGTGCAAGGGGACCGCGGCCGCCACTTCGACTGTGGGCTGTGGCGGCGTCGGCGAGGGTATGGCGGGCGGGCCCCAGCTCCAGGAGTCGGCTTCCGCCGGGTCCGGGGGCGGCGGCGGGTCACACGGCCAAGGCGTATCGGGCTGCGCTCTGGAGGGGGACATGGATCCGGTGGCGGCCGGGAGGGGCGGCGGGGCGCCGAGAGGTTGCCACCGCGCGAGCTCGTCAGCGAGGCGCTCCTGCCGCTTGCGGTCCTTGCGCTTGCGGCGCTCCTCCCGCTTGAACGCCGTGGACTTGACTAGCCGAAGCGGTTGCTGGTGGTGGCCGCTAGGGTTAGGGGCGGGGGAGAGGTTGGGGACGTCTCGCTCGGTATCGGACTCCATTGCCGCGGTTCGTGGCGCCGCGCCGGAGCAGAAGCCTTCTGTAGCGCCAGTTTGGCAGAGTTCCCGCTTCCGGCTTCTTAGGACCGGCTCTCCATTTACATTGGAGCTAAAACTCCGCTCCCAACCACTTCCCATTGCTTCCAATTCAATCGTCGCTATAACCACTTTAAAATTAATTCCTTTCTACCCTGCTCCTCTATCAAAATAACTCAATCGAACAATCAAGAAATGAAACTCGAGAATCAAAAAGAGAAACTACTAAACTGGCTCATAGTTGGGTGCCCTAGGCCTATTTCCTGCGCGAGGCCTGGGCCTTGTTATACCTTTCCCATGTCACGGACAGTTAATAACAACAGCATATCCAAGAGTTTTCAAAACACACCCATAATCTTGATTTCTAGTAAGACTGAAAAATGTCTATGTAACAAATCCTTATGTAACTTTCAATCTTTTCACACTTGAGAAGATGATCCAAATATTGACTGTTGAGTAACGTGCAATTGACGTTCAATCCTGTCCTCACTGGTGCGTATTGACTGTTGAGTGTTGACCGCAAATGCAGCAGTGCATCATCCCGATTCGACGAACCGACCCGACGTGCCAGGCCACGGAGCAGGGGCCGAGGGGCAGGGTGTTGCCGCTGGGGCCGAGCGCACATTTCCGAAGTCCCGCCGCGACCCACGACCGCGAGGTTCAAGTTCAATGAACGAAGCGCGTCCGCTCCTTTCCCCCGAATCTCGAGCCCACCTCCTGACCCCCGATCTCCGCTCGGGCGACCCAACCAGAGGCCGGCCGCGGCCGCCATCCGATGCGGGACGACACGACGCAGCGCTCCTCGCCGTCCTTTTCCGGCGCGCGACACCTGTTCGCCTGCGCCCTTCTGCTAGTGCCGCCTATTCTAGCTCCGCATCGTACAGTGTGCTCCACTGAAACCGCCGGCCTAGATACCGACCGTCCTTTTTTTTACCACAGGCAATGGGGTTAGGGTTCGGCGCCGTACGGGAAGGGTGAGGCCGTGGTCCCTGGAGGACTGGAGGTGGAGGCGAGGGGTCTGTTCGCTGGTTGGAGCTGGTGCTGGTTTGGGCTGGTTGGTGCTGGTTTTTTGTGAAAAAAAAATACTGTTGGCTAGCTGGTTTGGGCTGGTTGAAACCAACAAACGAACAGGCTGGAGCACTCGTCAGCAGAAGCAAACGCACCGAGGAGCGAGGACGAGGCCCTGGGTGTGGTGGCACGAGGAATGCGTTCCAATTGTAAAATGGGCACGGACAGGTAGTTTTGTTGTGTTCCCCCAGAGCACATCGACAATTCGACATGGCTAATCTTTGGTTTGGACTCATGCATCCCGTGACATGCTGGTCCCATGCTGATTTGGTCCCACATGTCATGGACTGAGATGGCGGTATGTGCAGATTATTTACTGCGCCAGTAAGCGGCTGCTCCCACCCGCTGCGCCACTGCGGGCTCACGTGCCGCAGCCCGCAGCCGCCCTGCCCCGCGTGCGCGCCACCCACCGTACCCCTTCAGCGTACGCGAGGGCCGGCGCGCGAACAGCGGCTCCTCCTTCCTGGACCTGGTCCGTGCACCACAACGCAGAATGTCCTGACCGGCACTGTCCCAGGGGCTGTTCGCTCGAAGTTATCAGCGAAATTATTAGTTATCTATAATATTTTTTTCTCATAATAAAAACAGCCACAGCAATTTTAATACCAGACGAACATGCCCCAGCCCACCAGCCCACCAGCACCAGAGGGCCGCGTGACCCGCGCCAGGGATCCGCATGTCATGTCACAGGCTTGGCGTCGCATGTCGACGGGTAGTACGTACTACATGGAACTTGACTTCCGCGACCACGCCGCTGGGCGCGGGGGCCCACGGCCCCACCACCTAGTACACTCTCCACTCCCGGCTCATAAAAAAGACGACGCGCAGCAGCAGAGGTTGCTTACAGAAAGGACCCGTTTCGGGCCAGGGCATCTCACCCGACACCCGGTCACCAGCACCCCTCCTCCTCGGCGCCTCCCCAACCAGGCAACCACAGTAAGCCCCTGCCCCTTCCTCCCCGACGCGACCCTCATGGCGAGGAGGCGCTGCTGATGCCTCGCGTCGTCGGATCGGACGCGGCGGCCACGACACCCAGCCGCTTGCGGTGGCGCTCGCCGATCCCTACGCGCCCAATCCGCCCGGCGCGGCTCCTCGGATCCTCCCCGAGAGATTCGGGCCTCGTCTCGTCTCGTGCTGCCTAGGTGAGGCTCTGGCCTTCAAGGTGCGTGGGTGGGATCTGCTTCGGTTTGCGTTCTTCCCTAGTGCCCTGCCCATACTCCAGCAGCGGCCCAGTCGACTTCCCCAGGTGCCGACCCCCACAAGGTAGCGCGCGCGCGTCACCTCAACCCCTTGCATGCGCTGACGCTAACCCTATCTAGGAGACGGAGCAGTGGGCCAGCGGCCACGCCGGCAAAGAGAGGACGGCAGCCTGCAAGAAGAGAAGGCCCGTGTCAGGCGGCAGTCATAGGTATTGGCCTCCCCTGTTCCTCTCCTTGATGTGCCCTTAGATTTTGAGATTATTCGACAAGGGGTTGGATTTTGGAATTAGAGTATTAGATTAGACTAGCGAATGATGAATCATTTGTATGAATAACGTGATAAACCCTTCGAAATTATGGCAACTTCTTTTTATCCTTCCACTCAATTAACGTCGTTTGATGCTTTGGTCTGAAAACATTGGACTACAGTTTGGCCAGTTTGCCCAGTTATTATTATAATAAATAATAATGCAGTGAATGTGTGGTAGTAGTTTTTTTTCCCTGACATTGAGCCACTGAATGTGTTTAACCATGGGAAGCGGCCAGTTCTTGGTGTGTGGTCTAATGCGATCCTGCTGGTATCTCTGATGTTTGATACTTTGTAATGGTGTTGGTGATCATGTCCTGTGGGTTTTAGATGAATCTGGGTGAGACATTTCAAACGAGTGATTGCACCTTGGACTTATGGCAATTCGATGGGGAGCAGTTGTTAATCCATTTGCTCATGGAGTATCACATTTCATTTATTTTTCTACGTGAGATCTTTTATTTTTCCTCATGTTTTGTTGTTTGAGGTATCAGTAATTTTGTGTATTGATATAGTTTATGTGTTTACAATCTATAATGATTATATTTTTGGACTGGAGGACTTAGATTAGCATTTTACATAGCTAACCATCTGCTAGGGTAAATGTGCTCTATGGCTTTAGCTTTTCGGTAAGTGCTCCCAAAGGGGTGAGGATGGCATCAAATTGTCGAACAAGCAAATCTCTAGACTTGAATACATAGCAGCTTTTACTAGAGTGAATCACATTATAATTCAGTAACTCACCTGATCTTGATGTGTGGTTGTTATGTTTTTACAGTGTATTTAATCTTCATCCGTGTTAATACGAAGTCTGCATTTGTCATACCATTCTCAAGCTACACTTTATATGATTTATATACCAATCACATTTATTAAATATAGCGATATCCATACAGGTTTTCCTTTGTTTTCTTCATTATCTTTGTTTTGAGGAGACTGTTCTTGGATAATCTCATGGAACGAACTCTTGTTGCTTCAGTAGGTGCAAGGATAGGCAACCAGTGTCCAACAACACGTCTGTGGATCAATTGACCTGTATTTCAGCCTTTCAGTTGAGGATTAAAGTAGAGCTTTAAGAAGCTTGACAATTGGCATCATCTCAAGAATACATTGAAGTGCAAGATGCCAAAAATAAAGAATCTCTCCAATGCATGTAAAGTATCATTTTCTCCACAAGGTCCCATATCTGAAGAGGCGCTTGAGAGAGTCCGCGCACTGTTAGGTAAGTCAAATCTGTTTATCTTCTGGAATAATTGGTATCTTTTACCATTGCCTAGTTGTGTTTTTCATAGTGAGCTTGAAATGGAAAGTGAACCTGTTTGTGACCATGATGTTATATTTTTGCTGGTGATTTGTTCTGGAACAAGACATTCATGATCTTTTCTTTTATATGTTTTTTACAGAGACTTTTCTTTTATATGTTACTTCATAAACAGTGTTGTTTGCCTGTTCTAGATCAGTAGCTTTCAGTTGCTGGCATTGGTCAATTGGTTTAATTAATTTGTTTGTTGGTGGGTCAGACTATGAATTTCATTGTGATGTTCCAACCCGCTGCGAATAACTGATAAGCGATAACACAATTGAACTTCAACTGAGTGCTGCCAGCTTTAGGTACGGGGAATTGGGTTCGTAGTTTTGAATCTGTCTCTCCAAACAGACATTGAGTTTTTGCAAAAAAAAATTGGTGCTGTTGTTAATCTCTTGATACTAACAGGCGCTTTGTGTGGAGGAGTCAAGAATCGGAGGTTAGAGAAGCCTTGAAAAGGATGAAAGGGGGCAAAGCGATGGGCCCTTGGTATCCCAATCAAGGTGTGGGGATGTCTCGGGATATAGCTATAGTATGGCTAACCGAGATGTTCAACAATATCTTTCGATCGAACAAGACGCTTGAGGAGTGAAGAAGAAGCGATGTATTTACGGTCACACAAGAATGGACCGAGTTCGGAACGATGATATACGTGATCGCCTAGAGGTAGTACCAATTGAAGAAAAGGTTGTCCAACATCGGTTGAGGTGGTTTAGCCATGTCCAAAGGAGACCTCCGGAGGTACCAGCGCATTGTGGAGTCCTAAGCCAAGCTAATAATATGAGGAGAGGTAGAGGAAGACCGAAATTGATATGGGGGAGGCAATAAAAAGAGATTTGAAAGCTTGGGATATACCTAGAGATCTATGTTTGAATAGGAGTACATGGAAAGCAGCTATTGAAGTGACTGAACTGTGACTTGGGGCTCTTGGTGGGTTTCAACTCTAGCCTACCACAACTTGCTTAGAACTGAAAGGCTATGTTGTTGATGTTGATGTTGTTAATCTCTTGATAGGTTTATTTATCTTTTCCGCTGTAAATAAATCTGTATACTCAGTCCTATATGTTTATTTGATATATGATAGCAACAGGAGGATTCACTACAGCTGAATTCCCTCCAAAAGGAAGCAACAACTTGGTTTATTGATTTCATTAAGGTGTTTGGCTTGCATGTATGATATAAAATTGTGTTCTGGCACTGCTGCTCTAAACTTTATTTCAGTTCTAACATTGAGTTCTGATTCGTTCTGTGAGATAAGAGCACCGGCAGACTTAAAATATGACCCCTGTTCCTTTTTGCAGATGAGACCAGACCTCTAGATGTCGGCCTAGATAATGAAGCACAAATTGCACGCAATTGGAGTAGTTCTACGCGTCCGTCAAATGGGAGACGAGGACGTAATGGGGCTAACCAGTTCTCTGCTCCAATCAAATATTTGCACATTCATGAATGTGAAAGTTTCTCTGTAAGATCTCTTATTCATTCATTATTCCATTTCTATGTTTATTTTGTGCAGTTTTCAGGAGATCAGATAAAGGGGTCTCTGTGGTGCTCACTGCGTTCAGGATTTACTAAATTTATATATGATTTTGCAGATGGGTATATTTTGTATGCCACCTTCTTCAGTTATTCCACTTCATAATCATCCTGGAATGACTGTACTTAGCAAGCTTCTTTATGGAAGACTGCATGCTGAATCTTATGACTGGGTTGACGTACCTGATCATCCAATTGATCAATTACAAAGTGAGTTCTGACATTTGAATTGGTTCATTCCTTCTGCATGCCATTGTTTATTATGGTATTATTTGTTTGTCAGAGAATATACTTATTGTAAATGTTTTTTTTTTTTGGGGAAAAAGAACGATAAGGCATAAAATTACAGTTTGAAGTTGATTCGTCTGTTCTTAAGAAATGGAACTTCACTGTCTCTTGTTTCTTGCACATCTATTGTGTTCATTGATTCGTTTTAGCTCGTAGTGCATAAATTTTATAGATGCAAAGCACTGTCCAGTACTACCTCCGTCCCAAAAAGAATGCAATTCTAGGTGTATTCTCAGTTAAAGTGCCTAAAGTTTGACCAAATATATAGGTAAAAATATTAATGTTTATGACTTCAAATAAGTATATTATGAAAATATGTTTCATGACAAATCTAATGATATCTATTTATTACGATAAATGTTAGTAAATTTTTATATAAATTTAGTCAAACTTGACACTTAAACATATCACTGTTCTAGAATTGCATTCTTTTAGGGACGGAGGGAGTACGTACCTAAATCATAAAAATAAAAATAGGTTAATAGAAACTTGACCAACCTATGGAATTACATGGTGTTATAAAGAAGAATTAGGCATCCAAATTTGAGCCGAAGAGGACTCCGTTCCTACAGACCCACATCCCTACCTACTATCTTTGTAGGCCTAGGCTATATCATGCTATAGAATGTCTTTTCGGCATTTTATGTTTACTAGCAAATATGCCCGTACGTTGCAACGGGAGAAAAAATCTATTAATTTAAAAAGAAATTAATATTTTAATTTAAAGTTTTATCATTAATGTAAAAGTTCATATTAGCACTGCCATTATGTATTTCTTTTAACTTTTCTTTTTTTTCTTGATTTTCTGAATCCCTTTTTGTTTTATTATTATTTTTTGTCTATTCTGACCAATGTGCCTTTTTTATTGTATTGTACAATACAAAATGATTGATAAAAGGAAATTTGAATTAAGATTACAGGCTTTTTAATAGCTCTTAATTAATATTCAAGAGATTTTTTAGGCCCATAAGAAGGCCCATTCCCAAAAAAAAAATCCTGCTTTGGCGTCTCTTACCCTCGAGTGGCTCTAGTGTGACCTGCGCCTGCTGCCCCGCTCCATTGGCCACTGCACACAACAGTGGCCGGCTGGCAGGCGCGCGTGAAGGCACAGACGCGCAGCGCAGGCCACCGTGACGGCTGCCGGCCGCCCTCCGACTCTCTGATTTCTCAAGCTGTTTTTTGATCAAGAACTGTCTCTAAAAAGGATTCCAAAGAGAGGCCATCCCTAGAGAAATTGATTTATGGTGGAGGGTGGTGTTATCTGCTGAACAACCCAGAGGGTGGTAAATGGAGCATTACAGTTTTCTCATCGAGCAGACAAAAATGCTAAATTACAATTATCCACACGTTGAATCCCTCCACTAATCAATCAATAGTTAGTAGTGACACAATCCAATGGAATGATACACTGCTGGAAAACTTAAGCTTTGCTGAACTGCAGTAGCAAGCGGATAAACAGAACAGCTGCAGGGGACTGTTCATGCTGAAAATTAGTCACCTGAAGAAACACTGTCAAACTGACCGTGGAAAACTGCAACACCAGAAGCTACTGGTGCACACCTGAAAACCGAACGAGCAACTCCTTTGGAAAATCGAAGATGCAGAGCAGTAGCTACAGAACAGCTGTTCTAGAACTCAGGGTGAAACTAAAAACAGCAGCCACTGCACTGCCATCATAGCACAAGCAAGCTGCTGCTGGGAACCTGGGATTGCTGCGCTGTTCCTGCAGAAGACAATCACAGACAAAGGAGCAGACGTGAATACAAGCTGCCGAAAATAATTTCTATAAGAAAAAATGGGCTGCATATTGGTCAAGTGGCCCAGCAGAAACAAGCTGTGATTAAATTGAAAAGACCCTGCTAAGCCTCACAAAAATCAGTGTGTTGCTCCTTCACTGAACCTGATCGATGCAGTTCTGGTGCTTCTGTTCATGAAACATATTGTCGTTTCAGAAACAACACAGGAAACAGAAGCTAACCAATCTGCACCAAAACAAAATCCCAGAAACTGGAATTTGGATCACAGCCTCACACCATCACGAGAAACCAAACCCAACTTGATCCATCCAAAAATATTGAAACAGTCTCACAAATTTCAGAATCCATCAAAAACAGGGGAAAAATATAGTTTTACATTCAAGGTAGCATCCCATATCTATATTTATTGTTCAAAAAAATTAAATAGTGCAAAAAATTAGTTAGCGTGAAGTTCAAGAACTTCACAAATTGTTAGTTAATTTCCTGATGTAAATAATCCAAGTACTATTGTAGCAAAAACATCTTGTTACAGTGTCGGCGGCGCCTAGTCAGCTGTGGAAATGTAATTAAAGACTCATGACTCATCTCTCACTGATGTAGGCTGTTCAAAATTATGGTTACCGCCACAGAGCATCTCTCTTCAGTGCTTTGTGCAAATTCGGTGAGCTAGGTGAATCAAAGTCCGTAATGTCTGTATGCATGTCTGTATGCTCTTCTGTAGATCCAGTGTTCAGTAGTGCATTGTTGCAGTCTCCAAGGAAACTTTTCAGTAGCAGCTTGTCATTATGCTTGCCAACCCTTGTACTAAATTGCATGGTAGTTATTAAGCAATATATACTTGTTTCAGGAACCAGAATCCTTTAGATATTGAAGAAATATAACCACTTTGTTGAGGGTGCAGAGCCCTTCAAATGAGTCTCACATGTATGGGAAAGGCAGAGGATGAACTAAAGCACAGCTATAGGGTAAGAATTGATTTTAGACTGATTCGATAATCAACAGTTTCAGGTGCTCTAATAGTTGTACATAAATAAATCGTCTACATTATAAAAAATATATGAGGAAGCTATTTGACTATCTCTAAATCTGAGTATTTTTTATACATTGAATGAAGTCTTGAACTGTAGGTAAGTTGTTTTCACATTTATAATCCTTCATTCAAAGTCTATCCCAAAAATGCTTTTTTGAGTTCATAGTCATCCCGTTTGTAATAAAATAATTAACATATAAGCACCACATAAGTGAGAAAACTATTATTATATATAAAACTAATATTAATATTTATGGTTTTTACCTTTGTTGGTGGCAATTGTAGTTCTTAATGTTTCCATGCAGACATGATCTCTTTAAAGATCGGACATCTAAATTTTCAACATTGTCTGATTTAATATTGAAAGAATACATATTCTGCAAAACCAACAAAAGGTAAAATTAGTACAATGTAAAACCAAGACTTGTAAATTAACAATCCATCATATTAGTCCATCTAATATTAGATCTATATTCTCAGAATAAAACATCTCTCTTGAAGGTTTACGCGTAATTCCAGTTGGACGGCCAACATGCTTACCCATCGTATGCAACGCAAGCGATCGCATGGAGCAGTACCACACCAACTTGCTGCGATAGCTGAAGCGAAATCGCTGCAGGACACACATGACCCGGGGCTCGTAGTGCTAAAAGACTAACATGGCATGCATGGTGAGGCAATATGTATATTCAGAATTATACAGAGCAACGCGTAGTACCTGCTGCGGCGTCTGGCCGTCGGCGTCGACGTCCTGGAGCAGCGACATCATGGCCCTCAGCGGCCTTGTTCAACTCGGCGAGATCAGAACGTGTGTACTTGTTCAGCTCGGCGAGATCAGAAACTTCTACACGTGGATCCCAATGATCCAACGAAAAACAGTAATAATATATAAGTAGTAGTAGTAGCAGCAGCAAAAAAAAAAGCAGAAGAAATTTGAGTCGAACTGGAGTTCATGTCCAACATACCCGGGAATTGATTTTTGTGATAGGAGCATATATAGGAGCTGGAGTCTTATTCCAATCCAATCCCGATTCCGACTCGCTCAACCAAAACCAAGATTTGTGCCGGGCTGTCCAATCCCGATTCCGACACGCTCAGCAAAAACCACGATTTGTGCCGGGCTGGGCGGGCAGCGGCGCAAGAGCCTCCCGCGCGTCGGTGTCCATGCCGGAGTCGGACGCGGCGCGCTGCAGCGAACCCGGCCGCCGCCACCAGACCGGTCGCAGCCGGCCCAGGCCGACCGCACAGCCGCCAAGGCCCTTCTCGTGAAGGGAGGGGGCGGGCAGAGGAGAGGAAAGGGCCCTGCCGCCGTCTCACGCACCTGCACGAGCACCGGCCACCGCCATCGTGACCGCCGCCGCGCCGCCCGGCCACCGGACCGGCAGCCCCCGCCTGCACCGCCACCTTTAAGAACGTGGAGGAGGGGAGGAAGGGAGAAGGACCGGTTGAAGCGACGCCCTTCGACTCCGAGACGACGAAGGACGGGACGGGTTGAGATAACGACGGAACGGCATCCGTGCCTATTTGGGCTGAGTTGACTGAAAGGAAGAAGTGGACTGGACTGTTGGGCCAAATTGAATGGGCAGGACGAAAAGAAAAAAAGACCTGAAATTTTGCCTTTTTATTATTAGGGATAGATAGTGCATAAGTATTACTTTGCATTTTACTTCAACTTATTGGGGCTTTGGTGTTCATGCCCTAGTTTCGAATAGAAATGCTGATTTTGCGCTTGTTTTTTAAACTTTGTGATTTTACCCGTGTTTTCAAACTAAAGGAAGAGCTTGCCCCTATTTTGTGATGTCCGGTTAACGGTGTTAACTTTCGGACGAAAAGACTAGTTTACCCATGTGATTTTATCCCTGTTTTGTCAGAGATCTTTGTGAAATTACCTGTATTTCAAGATCATAATTTTGACATATTTGGTAGGGATGTTAGCAACAAAATTGGACACAAATTTATGCATTTGTTTTATTATTATAAATCTGTGCAAAATTTATTTTCCAAGAAGGATTAATCGACTGAAAGAAACTTTATTTGCAGGAACTAGAGTAGTTTGCTTTTCAGAAAATGAAGCATCTCTAGCACAAGCAGCGGATCAGAGTGACCAATAAAAATTAGCTCTGAATCACTTGTAGGACCCCACCATCCAAATCGAGCTCGCCACCATACAATTCGACCTCACCAATATCCAAATCGAGCTTGTCACAGCACGAATCGTCTAGGCTGTCGTGCACCTCTGCTCACCCACAGGACCTGCTCTCAGCCACGCGCCTAGGCCCATGCCGTGCCTGGATCCACTGGCCTGAGTACGACACCAAGCCGTGTCCCTGCCTGAACTTTCTTGTTTCACTCCCTTTTCCTATTCTTTTATTTGTTTAATCTCCCAGCCACTAACGGCATCCCAAAGTAGGGGTAAACGGCAGATTCAAAATGAAAGCACGAGGGTAAACTCACGAAGTTAAAAAAAAGAGAAGTAAAGTCACCATTAGCCTGTACAGCAGGGGTAGAAACACCAAATTCCCAAACTTATTTAGCTGTATTCTCCTGTATTTTCAGTATTGGCCTTGGTTCCATGTGATCTGCGATCACTAAGAATACTCTGATTTGCTAAAAAATCTGTATCATTAATCAAAACCTAGTCTGGTGGACTGCTCATTTGCACTCTGCCAATGTGCAATCACTAAGAATGCTCCGATTTGCCAAAAAAAAAAAAAACTATGTATTTCATCAAAGCCTAATGGTGAGTGTTCATTTGCACTCTACTGCCACCACCTTTTACTCACACTTTCTTGTTAGTCGATACTGCCAACTTTGAGTTTGTCACTTGGTTAGCCTGGTCAATTGTATGAGCTGATTTAATGCTGAGTTTAGAGCTAAACAAGTAGAGGTACATTCCACATGGTAGTCATGTTTTATTTTCTTCTGTTGTATGGAAAAGCTGTATTTTCTGTCATTTGTTTAATTAGTGCTGGATGGGCCACAGGTATGGTTATTTATCACAAAGATCCTATTTTTGTTTCTTTGACTAACCATGCACATGGTCTTTATAAATATATTATTCTGTACTTGTCCCATGATGTAATAGCTTACCTATTGGAATTTGCAGCAAGGCCAGCCAAGCTTGTTAAAGATTGTGAAATGACTGCTCCGGAGACAACTATTCTTTACCCTAATGCAGGTGGTAACATCCACACTTTCAGAGCCATCACACCTTGTGCTCTCTTTGATGTCCTTTCTCCACCATACTCCGCTGAGGATGGGCGGCACTGTTCATACTTCCGAAAGTCTCAAATGAATCAACCACCTGGTATGTGGAGATCTTGAATTTTAAGGTTTAAACCTACAGTTATGTTTCTGCCGAGCTTTCTAACTTTGGTTAAAATTTCTGCCTACCAGTTGTTTTGCCTGCTGAGATAGATAGCTCACAAGTAATTTGGTTGGAGGAATTGGAGGACCATCAGCCCCCAGAAGGCTTTGTTGTTGCGAGAGGTCTGTATAAAGGCCCTGTTATTAGGAGATAATTTGCTTTGGAGCACAGAATTCACCAAACTGCAAATCAGCTGAAAGACGATGCGCTTGTAGTGTCTATTGCAAGCATCATCAGGTCATGTGCAGCCTACGGTTTACTTTGTACATGTACCTGATGATGCTTGCAATAGGAGATAATTTAACAGCAGTTTTACAGAACAAGAATGGATGTTTTTTATTTGGCTGCCATTTTAATTGTGTCCCACTGCTGGAGTATCTCTGACCTAGTTATGGAGCTCTTATCATATCAAGACCGTGGAGCACATACTCTTGAGCATAGTCTAGCATAGCTATTGTCATGGTGTACTAGTAGGGAGATAAATGGATAATTTGGTGATTTCAGAAAGAATTTGGTGTGGGGGTACCTTTTTGTCTGTGTAATAGCAGCATTACTATTTTTGGGCAAGACTGTAAATTACAGGGAGGAGCCGTAAACAATTCTGTGCACATCATCTCCATGTTTCATTTACGTCCGCTGACACTGTAGTTGAACATGTTGCTCGTTGCCCGTTATGTGCATATGCCTTCTTTCTTTCCCCTCAGTAAAAAAAGTCGCTTCGAGACGAAGGGAAAATTGCCTAAAACTGTCTAGAAGTTACTTCTGTGCAAACTTTAGCACTTGCGAGCTACTCCCCTTGCTAAAATGAATGCAATTCAAGAATAGTGTTAAATCAAACTATTTTAAATTTAACTAAATTTATAAAAGTATATTAATACAACGCATACTAAATAATATTATTAGATTTATCTTAAAATATAATTTTTTATATACCTATTTAGAGTTTTATAGTCTTAAATATGTGGTTCTGACGCAGAAGAGTCACTGAACCATCTGTCCATCTCTTTCTCAGCTGCCCTTTTGTTGCGAATCGCTGGCACTTGGTGGGCATGTTTGTGGATCTCATTCTCCCTTCGCCTATCCAAGTCCTTATGTCTTTTAAGGATCAGGTCCAAGTGCCTTTTTTCATGGAGATTGATATCCTTCTCCGCTGGAGCATTTGGTTTGTACGGAATAATGCAATATTCCAAGGATTTGCGTCTTCGGTGGATAGAGTCAAAGGTGTCTTCATACATGAATTTGCCCTGATGCTACAACGGGCAAAAAAGAGATACTTCCCCTTGATTAACTCATGGTTGGAATCTTGTTTGTAATTTTTCTTATTTTCTTCCTTCCTTTTTTCGTCTCCTAAACCTTTTGTGCTACTTTGTTATTTTTTCTTTTAATAATTTTTTTCATCAGGGGTGCACCACCCCTCCTGTTCGCCTATTTTTTTCATAAATTGAGTCGAACTTGTATCATTGTATGTTTGGTGGGGATCTAGATTCTCGTAGAAATACTTCGGATCTAGACTAGATTTTCTCAGAAATATGTTTCTCTCTCGAAAAACGTTTCTATAATGAATCAGGATCACTCTATAAGACAATTTGGTTGATAGTTCTGATTTAAAAAAAATATTGTCCTTATAAAAGAATCCATGTAAATGATATATGCTTCAAAAAATACTGAATTTTTTGTGGGTGAAGAACAGCTTAAGCCCATGTTTGCTTTGCATCCATACCCAGTCTAAATAGAACTGCAGCAGTGCTAGAAGTCTGGCAGATACCCAAATAAGCTATAAAAGCAACTAAGCAAGTATATGGTGGCCTGCTTGGATCCTTCGCTAACCACCGTTCCACCTTGCTCAACTAGAAACTGGGATTGCTAGCTTGTTTGGATGTCTAGCCAGAATATCTTGATTCTTTGCTAGAGCAGGAGAGCCAAATTAGCTCTCCCAACCTGGCAAGCTTCTTGTTATCTGTGCTAGCCCAACGAAAACCAAGCATGCCCCAAATCTCTGGTCAACAAGCAAACAATAGGCAAACAATATTGTGGTGTGGCAAACTTTGGAAGCTATCCAAACACACCCTAATACAACTTATTTTAATTTGTTGTGCTTAATTCTTGGCGAATCCACAAGAGAAGTACACGAGCTGAGAACCGTGCAAACCCTGGGGCTTTGGCCGTTTCACGTGCTAACATAGGAAACGTGAATCCAGTTGCTGATTCTTCCGATTCTTATGAGAAACGGACACGTTTCTTGTATTGTATCCAAACGCGTATAGGCGCTCTTAAGTTAGTTTAACTCTGAATAAACCTAGAATTACATCATTTTTTAGGATGGAGGTATGCGAAGTATAAACCACCATCTTTGTTACCACCTACGACTACGAGCTACTTCAAGTTCTGTATTCTCGCGTGAA